TCCACTCCTAGGTATATATGCAAAAGACTTGAAAGCAGAGACTCAAACAGAAGACTTGTACACCAACGTTCATTGCTGCACTATTCACAACAGCCAAAAGGTGGAAACAATCTAAATGCCCATCAACAGATATATGGATAAACAAAATGTGGTACATACATACAATGGAATATTACCTAGCCAGTGGGAGAAATGAAGTCTTGAATCACGCTACATATGGATGGAGCTTGAAGACATTATGCTGAGTGAAATAAGTCAATCACAAAAGGACAACTATTGCATAAAAGACAAGAAAAGGCAAATGTATAGAGACCAAAGTTTATTAGTAGCTACCAGGGAGGGGAGGGAAGGGACGGGGGGGTGGCTAATGGTGACAGAAAAATAGCATTGATTAAGGGTAGGTTACACAGCCAATTACTGCAACTGCTGTCAATAAGCTGTACAACTGTAAAAAGCTGAACTGGCAAAAGTTGTGTGATAAATGTACTTACAACAATGACAAAAAAAAAAAAAGAGTAGCCGCTGATTTGGTTCCTTGGTTCCAAGGTTTAGGGTCATGGTTTCATGGGACATCCCAGTTAACTGGCTAATAATGCGTTCAGTGCTTCTGTTTTACCCCTAGCTCTTTGCATAGCGCCTGGGGTCTTAAACGCTTGCAAGCAGCCATTCAAGGCACAATAATTGGTTTCTATTCACCTGGAGCAACAGAGGAAGAAGGAGAGTCAAGAACAGAAGGAGGATACGGAATGTGTGGTTAACTGCCTCCATGAATAACTGCCGCCTTTACCATTAGACCAGAAAAACTGGATGGTGCCCAGCTACCATTGCTGAACATTTCTGATCGAAGATTTTATAGAAGAATCCTGATCAAAAGGGGAAAATGCAGAACAGTATTTCAAATTCACATGGAAACCAGACTTTCTGGAGCCATGGAAGCTGGAACTTCTGAAACTATTGCTCTGAGATTATCTTTAAATTTTAAAACCAAAAATATCCCCTGAAGTTTTCTTAAAACCAAACAATAGTTTAGCTTAACTGTAAAGAATGTCTGCCCTGAGCACTATGCTCTTTCAAGATCTATCTATATGGGATCAAAGTGACAACAGTAACCCGAAAGATTAGATAGGAAATTTAGGGGGCAATGAGTTTATGTCAACGAGGAAGAAACAGTTCACAAAAGGAGGGTGAGAATGGATGTACAACTTGAAGAATGTAATCAATGTCATGGAACTGTACATGCAGACACTATTGAATTGGTGTATGTTTTGCTGTGTATATTCTCAACAACTACAACAAAATAAAAAAAATTAAAAACAAAAATGTAGAATGGATCATAGGCCTAAAAGACAACAGGAGAAAATTGTTGTGACCTTAAGTTTGGCAAAGATTTCAAATACGATACAAAAAGCACTTATAAAAGGGAAAAAAAAGAAAGAAAAAACTGCACTTACTCAAAATACAAGATTTTTGCTCTTTAATAAAAGATACTGTTAAGAAAATTAAAAGGCAAGCCATGGACTAGGAGAAAATATTTGCAAAACATTTTGGACAAAAGACTTGCATCTAGAATATATAAATACTTGTCACAACTCAATAATAAAGATAACCCAAATGCTTAAAAAATGGGTAAAATATTTGAAAGACACTCTTCCGAAAAAGCAAAAGGAATGGCAAATAAGCACAGGAAAAGAGGCTGAACATCATGAGTCATTAACCCGCAACCCATTGCTGCCAAGTTGATTCCGACTCATAGTGACCATATAGGACAGAGTAGAACTGCCCCATAGGGTTTCCAAAGGAGCGCCTGGTGGACTGGAAAAGAGGCTCAACATCATGAGTCATTAACCCGCAACCCATTGCTGCCAAGTTGATTCCGACTCATAGTGACCATATAGGACAGAGTAGAACTGCCCCATAGGGTTTCCAAAGGAGCGCCTGGTGGACTCGAACTGCCGACCTTTCGGTTAGCAGCTGAACTAATTAGTCATTATGGAAATGCAAATTAAAACCACAATAAGATACCACTTGGTATGGATTGAAGTGTTTCCACAAAAAATGCATATTGTAAATTCTAAACCCTATACTTGCTTGTGTATGTAATCCCATCTGAGAATAGGGTTTTCTTTGTTATGTTAACGAAGTCATGTAAGTGTAGGGTGTGTCTTAAACCAATCACTTTTGAGATATAAAAAGAGATTAGGCACAGAAGCAGGGAGCACTAATCCGGGAAAGACTGATGCCACACCCCATGAAGATGGCCAAGGAACCCAGGAACAGAAGTTGAAAAGAGACAACGACCGGAATTCCCCCAGAGCCGAGAGAGAGAAAGCCTAGAGTGGGTGCCCTAAATTCAGACTTCTAGCCTCCTAAACTGTAAGAAAATAAATTTATTTGTTAAAGCCACCCACTTACGATATTTCTGTTATAGCAACACTAAGAAACTAAGACACTGCTATTATTTCCATTAACCAGTTGCCATCCAGTCGATTCTGACTCGTGGCAACCCTATGTGTGTCAGAGTAGTACTGTACTCCATTGGGTTTTCAATGGCTGATTTCTCAGAAGTAGATAGCCAGGGCTTTCTTCCGAGACACACCCACTAGAAGGGCTAAAGTTAAAAAGACTGACCATACCAAATGTCTGTGAAAATGTGGAGCAACTAGAACTTTTATATACTGCTGGTGGGTATATGAAGTGGTAACCCCTTTGGAAAACAGTTAAGCAGTTTCTCAAAGAGTTGAACATGCACCTACAATAAGGCTCAAGCATTTATTTCTAGGCATTCACCCAAGAGAAAGGCAAACATTTGTATACACAAAGACCCGTACAAGAATGTTCACAGGAATGAGAAACTAATTTCTGCTGTAAATTTTCACCTAAAACACAATAAAATTAAAAAAAAAAAAAGCCAGAAATAGAAATACCTCATGATCCAGCAATCCCACTCCTAGGTATACGCCCTAGAGATCTAATAGCAGTGACATGAATAGACATATGTGCACGCGTATGTTCACTGCAGTGTTATTCACAATAGCAAAAAAATGGAAACAACCTAAGTGCCCATCAACAGATGAACGGATAGACAAATTGTGGTACATACAGACAATGGAATACTACACAGCTATAATGAATAATGATGAACTCTCGAAACATTTTATAACATGGATGAATCTGGAGGACATTATGCTGAATGAAATAAGCCAATCACAAAAAAACAAATATTGTATGATCTCACTTTCATAAAAAGAATAAAAAAAAAATGAACGTTCACAGTAGCTTTTTTTGTAATAGTTAAAATCTGGTTACATACCAAATGTCACAGGTGAATATATTTTTTTAAAAAATTGTGGTATATCAAAGAAATGCTACTCAGCATTAAAAATGAAAGAACTACTAGTACATGTAACATGGATGAAATACATTTATGCTGAGTGAAAGAAGCCAGACAAAAACATACATAATGTTTGCATTCCAGGAAATGCAAACTAATCTATAGCATAGAAAGCAGATTAGTGGTTGCCTGGGAAGGGGGAAGGAATGAAAGGCGCACAAGGAAATGTTAGGGGTGATGGATATGCTTATTACCTTGATTGTACTGATGGTTTCTCCTCTGAGGTAAACATATGTCAGAATTTAGCAAATTGTACACTTTAAATATTTGCAATTTATTTTAAATCAACTGTACCACAGTAAAAGCTGGGGGTGGGGGTACTCTTGCAAACCTGATAGCAAAAGTTTACATAAAAGAACAAGGAACTAAAAAACTTAAAAAAAGATTCAAGTATGAAGGCAACCACTAGAACAAAAACAAAAATTTCTAAATAACAAAAGAAGTTTATACACAACTAAGCAACTTTTAAAACTAGCAACATAATGACAGTTAATGATGTAGAGCACTAGTTCTCCAAGTGTGTCCTGGGGAACCTGAGACCCTTCCAGAGGGCCCACCAAAGTCAAAACTATTTTAATAATCATAGAAGGATGTCATTTGCCTTTTTAATTCCAATTCTCTCATGAGTGTACAGTGGAGATTCCCAAAGGCTACATGATGTGTGATATCACAACATATTACATGCAGAAGCAGATATGAGACTCCAGTTTTCTTTTAATAAGCCAAACATCGAAAAGAGTTGTAAAAACGCAAAACGATGCTACTTTCTCTAAATTTATTTTGAAAAATATTATTTTTCGTTGAAAATACTGTTTATGTTAACATCATAGTTATCATATTTTATCATTATTTTAAATAAAGTAATAAAGGAGTACAGTATTTTTTTAATTTCCCAGTTTTAATTTCTAATAGGATAAATACTGGTAAACAAAACCAACATAAACAAACATTCTTTGGGACCCTCAATTATAAGTGTAAAAGTATCCTGAGACCAAACAGTTTGAGGACCACTGCTGTCAATCAAATGTCACTGCAACCTCAGTCAGCTCCCTCAGGAAGAAGCAGTGTCCCCTGTTTGAGGACTGGCTGACCGCTCTATGGAGGGACCCTGCATGGGGAAGGGATTTTAGTCTAGATAAGTGCTACTCAATCGTTGTTTGTAGGCTGGTGCTGGTCCACAAACTCTTTCTGGTTCATAACAAGCGAAATACAGAAATTGAGACTAAACCGTTAAAAACATTTACAGCAATTTTACATTAACACAACAACCAAACACATAATCAGTGGGCTTGTATTTTGTATGTCTTTTTTATCTCATTTTCCTAGTAACTGATTTCTATTGTATTTTACAAAAGTGTCGAACTGCAACAGATTGAAAACTTTTAAAACTGGTCCTTCCCCACAGATGCATTGAGAAGCAATGAACTAGATGTTTTATAATTAAATAGCAATTGAAATGATCCTTAAAGTAAAATACTATCAGTAGATACTATTTCTCTGTGATTAATAACACTCAAGAGTTTCCCCTATGTACAGTACTTAGAATATAAATACCAAAGCAATCTCTCTTAAAATAGAACTCTGTAATGATATAGAAAATCATACATACCGTCTTCAGTGAAGAATTTTTCTACTGGCCCCATAAACTGATTAATTTCATTAAGTTCCTCTTGATCAACTTCTGGAAATGGGAAAACTTCTTTCTAAAAACGATAAACATTTACTGAAAATTTAATTTTTTAGTCTCCCATCATGGTAATATCAGTCCAAAGGGAAGGAGAAAGGTTTGCTAGATTCTACATCTGGCTGGCAGGATATTACGCGCTGAAGGAAGTAGAAAGTAAACCTCAGACTGCTTCACACATAAGAACTGTGTGTTAGACTGCAGCACACAGGCACAACTTCCTTTCCTGCAGGTTTAGTCCTGGTTTTGATCAGGCTTCTTTTTCAGTAACACATTATGAGGCTTATCCCATGAAACGAAGAACCCTAGGTCAACATTTAGAAGTCCTCCGCTCTAGTCCTTCATTTGCTGCTGTGTGGCCTGGGCCAAATTCCTCCACCACTCCAAGTTTCCACTGTCTCACCCATAATATGCAGGTAATATTTACTCAAGGTTGTTGTGGGGATCATGGAAGATAATGGATGTGAAAGCACTTTACTAAACGGTAATGCTCTACATCAATTATTTTGTGAGTTCAAAGATGCTGCCACTGACAAGAGCTTTGTGGTTAGAAGGTCTGACACGGAGCAGGCCTCCCACCAAGCTGCAAACTCCAGCCTCTCTTTCTGCCTGCTCCCTGATGTCTTCTACTTGTGCCAAATGTGCAAGGTAGCATGGTCACTGGATGAGGCCCTGCTGTGGAGCCAGAGCAACCTGAACTCAGCCCTGGCTCTGCCACTTCTTAGATGTGTGACTTGGGCAAGTCACATGATCTTTCTTGGTGTCAGTTTCTCTTCTGTTACCAATGATCCTATTTATCTCAGGAGGCAGTTGTGATGCTCAAAAGTCGTAATGTGACCTGGAATATAAAGTAGTTATAATTATTTGTATCAGATACTGGCTCTGATCTTGTTGCCATCTCATGGTCTGGAAAATGACTTCGCTTCAAGTCTGTCTCAAACTGGTGAGTAGCCAATGTTTCCAACCACCCAAGATTCCGCACTGGACCATCACTATACATTGCTTAAATCATCTCACTGCGTCCACAGCCCCTCTGGCTTTCTGTGCTCCAGCTACCCCTTCAGCTGTCAGCATGACATGACTATCTGAGAAGAGATGTCCCAGGTCATAAGCTGCCAGCTCCCAGGAGCCCTGCCTTTCTTCATGACACTACTCACCAAGTGTTTCAAGAAAGATCTTCAGAGGAATCTCCAGTCTTCCCCCGCTCCAACCCCTGTCTATCTACTCAACTACCAAAGCCTCTCCATTCTAATAATACACTCCCAAATATGTTTTCTCCTTTATAGGTGAGTCCCTACCCGAAAGTGACAGCTAACCTAAAGGAATTCCTGCCTCCAGGCCATCCCAGACTTGCCTTCAAGGTGGTCTAGAAAGAAAAGATGCTGATGATTCTCATCACTCTACAGCCCCTCAGAATAAAGCCTAATCTCCTTAGTTTAACATCCAGAGGTTCAACCCATCCCCACCACATTTTCTGTCACAGGCTTATTAGTTCACCCTGGGGCCTTGAGCAATGGGCTGTGTCATGGGAAGATTATTCTGGTACCAGTAAGCACGTTGGATAACAAAAGAGAAACAGCCCTCAGCCACACCCAAAGGATAACTGCTACAGGGAGAGAACTTGGGTACATGTAAGAAATAACCCCGATTACAATGTTCAAAAGCTGAATGGGCTCCCTCACAGGTGTTATGTTCAACTTTTATCAGCAATTTTCAAGTTTGTTTTGTTCTGTTTTAGCAATTTTCAAGATTTTTAATAATAAATCTAGGGCAAAAACCAAATACAGTCAATCTTCAATGTTTGCGGATTCTGTTTTTGCAAATTCTCCTATCTTCTAAAATTTATGTGTGACCTCAAATTCAGTACTCACATCACTTTCATGGTCATCCACTGACATGTGCAGAGCAATGAAAAATTTGAGTGGTCTGATACACATGTTCCCAGCTGAGGCGGAACAAGGTGACTCTCTACCTTCTTGTTTCAGTTACACTGCAAACAAGTACACTTTTCATGGTCTATTGAGTGCCACACTTTTCGCATCTTTGTGCTTTTTGTTGATGATTTTGCTGTTTAAAATAGCCCCCAAGCATAAAACTGAAGTGCTGTCTAGTGTTTCTAAACACAGGAGAAAATAAAAGTGTTAGACAGCTTTGTTGAAGTATGAGTTATAGTGCTGTTGGCTTCGAGTTCAATGTTAACGAATCAACAATATGTATTAAAGTGTCTTTAAATAAACACACAAGGTAACATATATAAAACAAGGTGATATACTGATGGGTTAATGAAAATGCTGTGATCAGAGGCTTACAGGAACCTAACCCTGTATTTCCCCAGGAGCTCAGTATGCACTAATTCAGTGTTCATGGAGACTTTGAAGAACATAACTACCACGAATAACAATAATCAACTGTATATAAAACAGTCTCACCCACTCAACTTCCCAGTAGACCCTGTGGTAGCCCCAGGGGCACTTCCATGAACAGCTAGGGTTCAACTGAGGACAGTGTAACAACTACTAGTCTATATGATCTTCAAGGTCTACTCCTATTCTGAAAGTCTAAGCATTGTTGTCACTTTTCTGCTCAATCTCCAATAACGTTGTAAGAGGTGACTTGGCCTGAACCAGAGTAGTAGCAGTGGTGGTGCTTAGAAGTTGTCAGCTTCTGAACAGAACCTGAAGGCAGAGAAAGTAGGATCTGCTATCAGATTAAATGTAGTCTCTAAGAATAAGAGGAGTTAAAGATGATGCTAGGTGTTTGGCCTGAACAAGTAGAATAATACAGCTGCTATTATACGGTTGCTATGAGTCAAAATCAACTCGACGGCAACAGGTTTGGTTTTGGGTTTATCCATGATAAGACTGGAGAAGGAGCAGGATTATTCGGTTGGGAGACCTGGAACTCAATTCTGGGTATGTTAAGTTTGAGATAGGCATTCCTGGGTGGCACAAATGGTTAAGTGCTTGGCTACCAATGAAAAAGCTGACAGCTCGAATACACCCAAAGGTGGGAGGTGGGGCCAAGACGGCAGAGTGGTCAGATGCTTCCAGTGTTTCCTCTTACAACAAAGACCCAAAAAAACAAGTGAATGGATTATATGTGACTATCTAGGAGCCCTGAATATCAGGGGCAAGGTTGAGGAATTGGACTGGATGGTGGGGGGAGGGAGAGATGGTTTGCAAGCGGAGAGGAGTTGCCAGACCTGACCTGGTGAGAGCCTGAGCCCTTCAGCCTGGATCAGCTCGGGGTGAGCGGTGAGGCAGGCAAGTGGCGGCGCTCGGGAGGCATTTTCCACACCGGGAGGGACCCAGCGGCAGAGAGTCTGCTCAGCCATCCAGAGCCGGTAAGAGGCAGCCCTTGATTGGCAAAGGATGAGTACTTGCGTCGTGCCTATCACGTGGATCAAAAACACCCCCCTTAGGGAAAAACCTCTCTCCTATTTACCTCCCCACTTCCTGCTCTGCACTGGGTCCCGGACCGGCTTCAGCAGTTGCCGAGTCCCCTGGGCTGGAAGTAGGACCCGTAACGTGCCCTGAGCCATTCTCTCAGCCTTGGAGAGTGAACAAATTAACAAATGGGAAAAAAATAATCTGCCGACTCCCTAAGCCAGGAACTCAGGGCAGACACAGCTCCTTTGCCTAGGCACAAGCACAAGGGATCCACGGACTTTTGAGTGCCTTTCCCCCTGCATAGACTTGTGTGGGCCCATTTCAACGGCATAGGCTCTCATTACCGCAGTACAACAGGGTATATACCTGAAGTCTAACTTCAACTGTTTCAGCTGTGAAGTGGCAGGTTCATGACATTTGACACTGCTCTGCCCATTAAGCAGGGTCTTCACCTACCAATATCAGGGGCCTGAGGACTGGTGGCTCCACCCATGCCACCTAGCCACCTGCGATATGGGCCCAAGAATAAGAGGTGTCCCCCAGTCGTTACAGCCAACAGCACTGACTGCTCATAGTCTGGCTGCAAAACCCATCCATCTATGCACTCTAGGGAACAGGGACATGCTTTCCTCCTGGATATTTGGGGGTGGCCATCAGCCCCCTGCCTTGCTCAGCCTGTGTCCCCCTGCTGCAGCTGGACGCCTGTGCCTACACCAATCATCCATGCCTGTCTAGAACTGTAGGTGAGAGCCTGCACCACACACTTGGTGGCCGACGACCTGGACACATGAGCTGAATCCATACAAGAGGAGTGGGCAGACTCCTGAGCTCACATACTTAGTGGCAGGTCTGGCCACCTGGGGGCAGGACATTGGAGTTTCAATGGTGCTAGTGACTGGGCTAGCCCACACAAGCAGCCTATTTGGGCATATCAAAACAAAACAAAACAAGAAGCTAGGACACAGTAAGCAAACGAATACATCCAAAGGTGCCTCAGAAGAAAGTCCTGGTGATCTAAAAGATCACAGCTAATGAAAACCCTATGGAGCACAGTTGTACTCTGACACACATGGGGTCACCATGAGTTGGCATTGACTCAAAGGCAAGTGGTTTTGATTTTTTTAAAATTTGGGATACCTGTTAGACAAATGGAGCATTTGAGTGGAAAAACAGATATAAAGAGTCTGGAGTACAGGGGAGAAATCTGAGCGGAAGAAATAAATTTGAGTAATCAGGATATTGAAGGTATTTAAAGCCATGATATCAAATAAGAGTATCAAAGGGATGATTACAGATGAAGCTCCAACTCCGACTGGGCTATTTGGGAATAATGGCCAAAGTTTAGAGGTCAAGGAGCTAAGAAGGAACCAAGAAAGGAACCTGAGAAGTCAGTGAGGTAGAAAACTCAGGAGAAAATTATTCTTTTTAGAAGTCAGCTGTGGTATGATTAATTACTTTCGTGTGTGGCCTTCCTAGCCATGATCTTGTAACTCCTACCCAGGTGATTGTGAGATAGGGTAATTGTGGTCTACCAAGACAACTGGTCAGCTTTGCCTTAAAAGAGAGCCAATTCCAGAGCAGGGAGGAGCCCATGACCACAAGGAAGGAGAGATCCAGCAGCAGGAGACAG